TCCTCGGACCCACGGTGTGAGGGCGGCTATCTCGGCAACAGCTGTGGAGGTGGAGGGCGGGAGGGAGGCTCCAGGAAAACGAAAGGCTCTTGTGTGTTTAGTTTTGCTCAGAAATGTGCACGCGCTGGTGCAGAGACAGATCGCGGGCCTCCAGGGCAGGTTCTCGGGGAGTGTGGACCCCTGGTGGGGCTTTCCTAAGGAGCTGCCGGCAGGTGCGGCCCGCCGGCCCAGGGCTTCAGCACCGAGCCCCAGGGGAACCGACGTCCACAGTCCCCTTAGATCCACGCACCCCCAAGGCCGCTTTCCTGAGCTTCCCTCCAGGGTAAACTGAGGCCACTTCCGAGGGCAGCTGGTGGGGCCTGGCGGAGCCTTGGTGACTGGTTTGTGACACCAGACTGCACGTTTTTCCTCCCTAAAATGTGTGCTTTCCGGAATCCTGCCCACCTACAACCAGCCTTTTGCAAAGTCTTGCCCATGTATTATTTTTTTGTTGGCATGAATAGAGCAAAAAATAATACATCTTTAAAAAGACATGGCCCAAAACTCTGACTCTGGAAGGAAAAGGTATTTTTGGAGGAAAAAAAAACCCAGGATTTTTTTTTTTTTTCTCCAAAAATAGGGCACTGTTTTCTCTTCCAGGCCGGCGGGAGACTTTATGTGCGGCCCTCTCAGTGTCGTTGCTCAGATCCAAGTGCTGCTGGTGGACCCTGAGCCCAGAGCCGCCCTGCGGTGGGCCCGTGCGTCCGTCCGCCGTGTGCCAGGACTAACTGTGCTCTCCTCATTTCCAGTAAAGGCAGACCGTGCAGAGAGTCCCTGTGTGGATGCTGCCCTGGACACTCTAGGTATCGCGGGCGTGTCGCACGCGCCGACCGTTGCTGCACGGCTCCCCACCCCCCTCCCGCGCCAAGCACTCTGCTTACTAGAGGTTCTAGATGAGCGAGGGCGAGGCTGGCGCCCCCTCCCCGGCCCCCCGGGCCCCAATTCTGATTGGCAGCGCGACCCCCCCGTGATTCCAAACGGCCTCCGGCTGACCGTGGCGTGGCCGCGCCAACATGCTTTTCTCCCCAAGCCAAACGATGCCCTGCTCCAAGCAGGAGGGGGGCCGGCCAGGGGCTCGGAAGCCCAGAATGGGCGCTGGGGGCTTCTGGGGTCCTCGTCGCTCTCTGGGGAGCCCTTTCTGCGGGGCTCGCCAGTCTAGCACCTCTACTACGCACCTGAGGACGGCCCCCCGGCCCGGCGCCTCGCCCGCGGGAGGCAGCTCCGTCCTGTGTGTGCCGGGCTGCCCACGGTCCTGACACACCAGACACGCCACGGAGCCAGAGGCCCTCGGCTCCCCCTTCCCACTACAGGCCTGGTTTAGGGCGGACTGGAAACGGGACGGTAGAAGAGCCACCCCCACCCCAGCCCTCTGCACCGTGGGCTCCTTGTCCGCACCTCCACTTCTCTGTCCACGTCTGCTGTCGGGTGTGTGGAAGCGTCTGTCCTCTTGCTTGCTCTGGGCGCCCCCCCCGTCTCCCTCCCGCCTGCCTCCCTCCCTGACCAATGCAGTGTGCAGCCCTGCCGCGTGTGGGCAGCTGTGTCCGCCTGTCCTGTGCATGCGGTCGGCGCCGGCCCCGGAAGCAATGGTGTCGAGCGGCGGGCGTGGGGAGGGGCTCTGCGGCAGGACCAGGGCCCCCGGGCGGCAGCATGCTTGTCCGTCTGCATCTGTGCATGCTCTGAGTCCTCTCCCGGAGAGGGGCTTGGAGGCCTGCCTCCCCCAACCTGTCCACGTTGCCTGTGTGCTCCCGGAGGTAGGCGCTTGGGGGAGACTTGCAGCCGCAGGAGCGGAGACTTGGGGCCCCAGCAAAAGCTGTCCTGCTTGTGCAGAGCTTGTGGGGCTGCAGGCTGGTCCCTTGGGTCAGGGGCTGTGGTCAGGCTGCTTGGGGACCAGAAGGGCCTGAGGTGCCCACGGCCAGGCCAGGAGGCCGGGCCAAGCTCAGCCTTGCTGTGTGTAAGTCCCACGAATGTCACTCCGTCCTTTGCACTTGCCCTGGGCATCCATGGTCCAGTGTGGGCAGGGCCGTTCTCCCAGAGGACGCTGGGTCCCTCACCGCTGAGCCGGGCCCCGGCTGTGCAGACCCAGGTGTGGTCGATGGCAGGCGGGGCCTCCCACTTGCCCCGTCCCTGTACAGCTGGCCCCGGGTGTTTAGAGTTTCGCTGTAGGGTGGCAGGTGGGGGAGAGAAGGCTGGGGCTTGGCTTTCTCCCCCAGGCCCTCCTGAACTTGCTCCCCGGTCCCGTGTGAACGCCAAAGTGCAGATGGCAGGAAAGTGCCCCTTTCACACACATGCTGGTCTCGTCGAGGGCTCTTTCCCCTGCAGCAGGTGGCCAGAGCCCCATCCTTTGTGTTTGTTTGCTTCTGTCCTTGGCCTGTGAGGTTAGGGCAGCCCTCCCCGGACACCTGTGGGAGCAGGAGCTGCGTGGGCACCTGGCCATGGGGCTGGTCTGGGTGGCCGGGGGCCGGGCGTCTGCAGGCTGAGCTGAGCTAGCTCAGGCATCCACACGGTGACCTCCTCCGGCACAGCGCCCCTGCCCGGTCTGGGCCTTCCAGGGGCTGGGACAGCAAGGCCTTCCTGTGGCTCCGTCCTCGAGGCAGCTGCGTGGGGTCCAGCGCCTGGGGGCTTGGGGGGGCCATGGCTTCCGTGGTCTCCCTGGACCAGGTGTTGGTCTCCATTGGGAAGGAGAAGGTCATCTGTGCCGAGGGCCCCGCGGCACACCTGGATTTGGGCGTCCCTCAGCTCCCATCTGCCCATTCTTGGCCTTGTGCTGTTACGGGCCTGGGGCCAGTGTCCCGAGCAAGCAGACGTCTGCCCCACTCCCGAGTGGGATCCTCACTTGAGGCCAACTTCCAGCTCTTGGGGGCTCCTTTCTTCCCTTTTTCCCTGTCCCACGAGACCTTCGATCTAGCAGAGGGACCATCTCCGCTGCCCGGGGGGAGGGACAGGGCGCTGGCTGGGACTGCAGTGTCCAGGCGGGATAGACCAGGCCCCTGGCCACTTCTTCTCCGTGGCCAGTCATGTCTGCGCCGTCCGAGGGACCTGTCTCGGCTGTGGGTCCTGGTTGGGGTCGATGGAGGTGGTGACCCAGGGGAGCCACACGGGGGTCTGGCGACGTCTGAGGGGTCAGCAGGTGATGGCGGCCTCCCAGTGACAGCAGAGACCCCGCTGGGCCTCCGGGCAGGCTTGTCGCACAGCCCGGGGCAGCACGAGGCCTGTCTCGGAGGCTGTTCCAGGAAGTTCTGTGGCTCCTGCCTGTGGCTGGGTGTGAGCAGGTGTGCAGGTCACAAGAGCCTTGCTCTGAGACAGTGGACACTGTCCGGGGGAGGAAGCGAGTGGCTGCTGGGTCCCCGGGCCTGAGCTGCGCCCGGACCATCACGACCCACTCGTGCCTCCCGGTTGCTGCCCAGAGGGTTCCAGACCCATCTTCACAGCTTCCAAGAGACACGGGGCCGGGGGCGGGGGCCCGAGGACGCCTGCAGGGCCGTGGCCGGCAGGGCTGCCCCCTCCCAGTGGCCTCGGGCCAGCAAGGCCTATTCCAGCGAGGCGGCCGGCAGGGGAGGTGCGTCCACTCCGTCCCTCTGGCAGCATGGGCCTTCAGTCCCACACCCGGTCACATCCTGTGTGTGGGTGTGGAGGCTGTGCTGGCCCTGGGTGTGGTGGAACTGGACAGAGCCCACAGGGGGCCCTCACCCCCTCCGTGACGCTCCTGCTCTTGCTCCCGACCCAACCCTTCCTCCAGGGGGCTCCCGGGGCTCGGCAGAGGCCAGTGGTCAGCTGCAGACCTCACCCCTCCAGCCCCTGGGGCAGGCAGCAGGGGGAGGGGGCTGCCGCGGGGGCAGGTGTGCGGTGTGGTGGGACGGGCAGGGGGACCTGCAGGGCGTTTGGGGGCCCTCACGTCACCTTGGAGAGGGAGGCCTGACAGGACTGTGTGGAGAGGACGCTGACACCTTTCCGTAGCACCGAGAGTGATTTAAGTGTCCACTGACCACCTCCCCAGCCAGGCTGAGCCCCTGAGTGGCCCTCGGAGCGCCCACCCGCCTGCGCTCCTTGTCTCCCTGCCCCCACCCCCACGTGTAGGCGTCAGCTGTGAGCGGACGGTGGGGTGTGAGCGTTCTTTGCAGAGTGATTTCTCTTGCTGTCTTTCTGTGTGTGTCCACCCTCCTGTCGGTCCTCGTGGGAGCAGTCAGAAGGTCAGTTTGAAAGACCGTGTCTTCTCCAGCCCCCGAGGCGTGGCTGCCAAGGGGAAGGGGTCCCCGCAGGCCCAGACCGTCCGGCGGTCACCCAGTGCCGACCAGAGTCTGGAGGACAGTCCGAGCAAGGTGCCGAAGAGCTGGAGCTTCGGGGACCGCAGCCGGGCGCGGCAGGCCTTCCGGATTAAGGGTGCCGCGTCCCGACAGAACTCAGAAGGTGGGTCAGGCCGCTGCCCTCCCGCGGTCCAGCTGCCCCTCGGGCACCACCGGGAGCCCTGCAGCCCCCTTGAGCAGCGGCTCCCCCTTTTCCTTTTCTTTTTGAGGTGAAGTCACGTGACATAAAACCAGCCACTTTCAGGCGAACAACTCCGTGCAGTGAGCACATTCACAGTGTTGAGCAGAGACTCCCTGTCTCGTTCCAGAGCATTCCATGCCCCGGAGGAGACCCGTGCCTGTTAGTGGTCCTTCCCAGCCCCCGGCCACCACCAGTCTGTGCTGGATATTTCACACACGTGGAACCACACGCCGTGTGTGCCTGTTTCCAGATGATTCCACACTGGGTCGCCAATCAGGCTTCATGCCTGTTTATGGCGGGCTGATGTTCTGTTTCTCCTATGGCCGTAGCACACTGGGTCTGCCCTTCGTCCACTTTTCAGCCATCGCGTGGGCCTTTCCTCGCGGCCTCAGCGGGACAGAGGGCAGGTTTCCAGAGCGCCGGAAGGCTTCCCTGACGCTGTCCCCGACGAGCATGTGCTGTGGCCCCCTCGGTCCCCGGCCGTGTCTCCGCCCCTGACGGGCCATGTCTCCTTCCACCTAGAAGCAAGTCTCCCTGGGGAGGACATCGTGGAAGACAACAAGAGTTGTAACTGCGAGTTTGTGACCGAAGATCTGACCCCGGGCCTCAAAGTCAGCATCCGGGCCGTGTGGTGAGGCACTCAGTGTCCAGGGCAAGGGGCCTCCCCACAGAGTCCAGGAGGGTGCTGTCCGCTGTTCCTGGGGTGCGGGTCCTTTGGGGGCTGGTGATGGTGCCTGGGCCCCCTCCCGTCATGGCTGTCCTCTGCCCCTCCTGGGTGTGGAGCACCGATGCTCTGAGGGGGCGGCCAGGAGCCGCCCCCGCAGGGGTCCCGGGTGGACGAGGGTCTGTCTGCACCCCAGGCCCAGGAGTGGCCTGTGTATGTGGCAGGTGGGTGGCTGGGCCAGATTGCTGTGACGAGTCCTCCAGTGGATGCTCTGGGAGATGCTGGGGGGGCCCAGGGCAGGGGCCAGCCCAGGGCTCACAGTTGTGCTCCCCCAGCGTGATGCGATTCCTGGTGTCCAAGCGCAAGTTCAAAGAGAGCCTGCGGCCATACGACGTGATGGATGTGATTGAGCAATACTCGGCTGGCCACCTGGACATGCTGTCCCGCATCAAAAACCTGCAGTCCAGGCAAGAGCCCCCCCCGCCCCCCGCCTGCCCAGCCCCAGGGCATGGAGGCGGGGTCCTTCTGGGCCAGTGTGGCCCCAGTGTGGTGGTGTCTCTCAGGGGCCAGCACAGGGGTGGGGTGCAGCGTGGGGGTCCACATGCTGCCCCCCCAGAGGGGGGATGGTGGACAAGGCTGTGGGGACACAGTGGTCGGCCCTGGCTGCTGCCACCTCTGGGCTGTTCCTCTCGGGCCCCACACCAGCCCTACGTGGGCGTCCTGCTGTGTCCTCATGTGGTCTGTTTGTTTGAATATTTCTGTTGTCTCTCCTTTCTCACCCCCCTGCCCCCGCTACAGTGGGCAAGCGTGTATGTGTGTGTGCGTTCACATGCATGCACGGGCACACGTGTACTGTGTGAATGCACACGTGTGTGCACGTGTTCGGGCATCTGTGGTTACACGCATGGGTGCATGTGTGTGCACACACGTGTGTGTGTGTGTGCCGGGTGCACACACGTGTTATGCATGTGTGTGGTGTGTGCATGTGCCTCTGTGTGCTGTGCCACGTATGCATGTGTGAGCCGTGCACACTTGTGTGCGTGTGTGTTGGGGATGGGTTGTTCTCAGGAGATGAGGCTGCGGGTTCGTGGCCCCCATCAGGAAGCAGTGACGCTACACGGGAGCAGAGAGGCTTGTCCACGTCCCTGCCTCACGGGGGGCTCCCTACTCCCCCAGCAGGAGGTGGGGCTGGGACGCACGTCTGAGGCCCGATGGTGGCCGGGCACACCCGCTCTGCTTGTGTGCAGCCGTGTGTGTGTGGGGACGGGCTTGTTCACCCCGGGACTTAGCTGCACATGCAGGCACAGACACACGGACACATGGACACACATGCACACACAGCTACACCCAGCCTCATGCCCACATACAAGCATCCTCTGCCTCCATGACACACTTGTACCGCAAACACACACGTGCTCAGAAGCGTGTACCCTCTGCCACATCCAAAAAAGTATGTGCGTGCACGTGTGTTTGTGGGGTCTGTGAGGAGCCCACAGGGCTGTTGTTATGGGTCTCTCCTGAAGTGGGTCCCATGGTTCTGCCAGTCAACGCTCCCTCCCCTGCCCAGGGTCCCTCAAACTGGGCCGCTGTAGGGTGTCTGCCCCAGAAGCCTGGGCCCTGGCTGGGAGAAGGTCTGGACGGTCAGGGGACAATCCTAGGGGTCAGCCCAGCTCCTGGGTAGTGTAGTCCTCATTCTGGGGAAGTCCATGTGCGCCTGCCTTGGGGTGCTTCCCCGGTCCTGCAGTGGGACGCCCAGGAGGGGTCCCTCTGGGCCCGAAGCTGCTCCCTGGGGCGGGGAGCTGGGGGCGGTGACCCCTTCCTCCACGCGGGCTGAGGCTAGGAAGCCAATCGCTCACTGTCCTCCCCAGAGCATCGGCTGGACCTGCGCCGTGCGTGTGAGCAGATGCGTGCGATCTGTGCGAGTGTGTGAGTGGATATGTGTGCCACTGTGCACATACAAGCAAATGTGTGTGAGTGTGCTCACGTGTGAGCGTGCACACGCCCAGATGTGTGTGTGAGAGAGCAGTGCGGTGTCTCGGCTGCTGGGCCTGCTCCCACATCTCTCTCACAGAGGCAGATTTTTTCACCAGGCTCTTCTGTCCTAAACGTTCCCTCTCCCCCCTTTCTGTCTGCAAAAACAACAGAAATGGGCCACCCCAAGGAGCCGGGGTGCTCTGCCCCTCCCTGGCAGAGCCTCACGGCTGTCCTTCGCAGCGGCTCCCGTGCACACACCTGCTCGCCCGGGCAGCCCTGGGCCCGGCCGTGAGGCGGCAGCTCCCCGGTCCCGCGCTCGCCCGCACACGGGACAGATGGGGCGCCGCCCCAGCCAGGCGGGCGTGGCGGCCACTGCGCTCCGCGGGCAGCGTCCCTCAGCCGACTCCCCTTCCGTGCTCTTCACGATGCATTTGCTGGTGTCTCTTTTCTTGTTCACTCGCCAGGATAGATATGATTGTGGGCCCCCCACCCCCTTCAACTCCCCGGCACAAGAAGTACCCCACCAAAGGACCCACGGCCCCTCCGAGAGAGTCACCCCAGTATTCACCTAGGTCAGGATGCCAACCCTCTCCTGCCTTGTCTCTGTGGAATGGCCAGCCCCCTTCGCCCCAGGCCACATGACGGCAACACCTGCCCTGCATCTCCCCACAGAGCAGCAGCGGGGGGAAGGCTGTGCCCCGTGTGCCCTGGGTAGGCGGTGTCAGGGTGGCCTTGAGCTGCTCCTCTTTGCAGGGTCTGGGGAAGCTTGCCATGGGGGGCTCCTTTCCGTGGACATCCTGAGTGACAGCTGCCCGGGGGGTGCTTCCTGGGCAGAAGCAGAGGGGCGCCACCGTGAGGATCAGATGTGTTCAGAGCCGCGGGGCTCCATGGCTGGCGGAGTCCTTCCCTCCCCAGCCCCTCCGGGGCTCTCCCCCGACGCCCTCCCCTCAGTGGGGCTGACCTGGGCGGCTCCATGGATCTGAGCAGGTCCTGTTGCTTCTCTTGCCTTTGAACTGTCATGAAGAATAAATAGGAAAGTCCCTGCCAGGCGCCCAGCAATGGGCGAGGCTCCCAGGGAATGCCCGAGAATTTTGGAGCTTTATTTCCGGCCATCAGAATTAGCATCACTGGAGCTGGTCCCGGCTGACCGGCAGAGAGAAAGGCGAGAGCACGGTTAGGTGGTGAGTTAGGAGAAGTAGCTTCTGTAGTGACGAATTCAAGCTTCAGGGCCTTCCTGCCTTCCTGGGGAGATTCAGATGACTTTTGTGACCTGTGCCCCTTGGACAGGTCTGGTCAGCTGGGGGAGAGCAGAGCCCCTGGGGCAGGGAGGAGGACGAGGGCAGAGGGGCCCAAGAGCATCCCAGAGGCCAGCACGGATGCTGGCAACTGGGCCCAAGCTGGCTGGTGGAGGGACTGGTGTGTTTGACCCATCCTCCCTGTGTGCCAGGATTTCTGCACGTGAGGCTGAGAGTCAGCACACTGGACATCTCAACCCGATGGCTCTTCCATGAGAAAGGAGTCCCTGGGGGAGCAGCCCTGACCCAGGGCAGCCTCAGACAGTGTTTGCTGGTTCGTGTTCTCCAGCCTTGAGATTCAAGCCCATCCTTCTGGGCTCTGCTGCAGGGGGTGGCAGTTGGGTCCTCAGAGCCATGAGCTGGGAAGGTCCTGCAGCCCTCAGGGCCTCCCAGGCCTCTGGACCGCCGTAGCCAGAGAACACAGTCACACAGAAGGGGCCGGAAGGACAGTGTGGGCACATGGGGGTTAAACCTGACTCCTCCGCCTGAGGCCTTGGGGAGGGATGGCCCAGGCCCCTTGGAGGGCCCTTTCCCAACCCCCTGCCCGTGGCAGCTCCAGGCTCCGAGGGGGACCAGCCAGGCAGGTGGCCCGTCATGTGGCAGGGGTGAAGGCGCTGAGCACTTATGCCTGGACTGTGTGGACACTTGGAAACACCAGAGAACCCTTCTCCCTCTCCATTCTCCACTGGTGTCTGCTTGGAGCCCGAGGGTCCCCCCGCTGTCCCCCATCGCTCCTGTCCTTGGTGCATGAGGCAAGCATGCAGCTCTGTAGAGCATGAGGCTGCACCATGGCTGATGCAAGTCCCAACCCCTCTTCTGCTTCATGCAACAGAAAGAAAAAGCCACCCCAAGCCCCACTCCCCACCAGAGGCAAACAGGGCGGCCTGTGGGTAAGGAAGGACGCCGAGACCTGGCCCCGGCCAGCTCACAGGGCGCCTGCCAGCGTGTGGGAGCCGTGCCCTCCTGCACTCCGAAACTTGAGGAGGGCCTTGTGCTTGAGGCTCCTGGCCAGAGACAGGCGGGGGCTACCTGGCCTCAGCTGGGGGGGAGTGCTGTGCGCCCAGCAGGCGCGGAGTGGCTGACCCAGCGGCTTGTGGACAGCCAGGGTCTTTGTTTCTGAGCTCCCACGTAACGTGTGGGTCTCTGGCGCGGAGCGTTAGGAGCCCACACCGCAGCGGTGGCCCTTCCTGCTGCGCAGGACACAGCTGCGGTCCCCCTCCCACATAGAAACCTCCTTTGCCTCTTACCCACGGCCTCTTTGAGACGAGCTCAGCAGCGTTCCGCATCCTGCACCTGCGTTCACACAGCACCCGTGTGCACACGTGCTCACGCGAGCAAGCACACAGCTCATGTACACATGCAGCAAGCACACACAGCTCATGTACACACGCACGCACATGCACACGTGCAGCAAGCACACATAACTCATGTACACGCGCAGCAAGCACACATAACTTGTACACATGCACAGCAAACACACACAGCTCATGTACACACGTGCTCATGTGCACATACACAGCAAGCACACAGCTCATGCACATGTGCAGCAAACACACAGCTCATGTACACATGCGCACACGTGCAGCAAGCACATAGCTCACACGCACACACACACGTGCACACGTGCAGCAAGCACACACAGCTCATGTACACGTGCAGCAAGCACACAGCTCACGCACACGTGCAGCAAGCACACAGCTCATGTACACGTGCAGCAAGCACACATAGCTCGTACACATGTGCAGCAAACACACAGCTCATGTACACACGTGCTCATGCACACGCACAGCAAGCACACAGCTCACGCGCACACACGTGCACAGTGCAACAAGCACACACAGCTCACATGCACACACGTGCACACACGCAGCAAGCACACACAGCTCACGTGCACACACGCACAGCAAGCACACAGCACATGCGAGCAGCAAGCACACGGCTCGTGCACATGTGCAGCAAGCACACAGCTCAGGCATACTCACGTGCATATGCACAGCAAGCACGCATAGCTCACATGCACACATGCGTTCACACACATGCACAGCAAGCACACAGCTCACGCGCACACATGCACATGCACACAAGCACACAGCTCACGCGCAGCAAGCACACACAGCTCACATGCACACACAGCAAGCACACACACGCTCACGTGCACACGCGCAGCAAGCACACAGCTCATGTGCACACACGCAGCAAGCACACACACGCTCACG